AAGGGGAAAAAGGAAAGGGGAAAAAGGAAAGGGGAAAAAGGAAAGGGAAAGGAAATCCTTTTCCATGGGATATTGGAAAAATCACGTGTCACCAAATAACACGAATAACACCCATAAGCCTCAGCTCTTGTAAAAGCAAGGTATCTCTGTCATTCTAAGTCTTCCCACTCAGCTCTTGTTCCTAAAGAAAAAAACACTAGCCAGATGTTCCCTATGTCGTTCCAAGAAAAACGTCACAGCACAGCACCCACACCTTAGCAAGCTCGTTAACCTTATCAACAGCCAATTCACAGCGAGCTGAGCTAACACGGAAACTGACGCTTCCGCAGAGCTTTCAGATTTTCTATTACGCCAACGAGCCCGAGCACCGCACGCACACACGCTGGCCAGTGAGCACCCGTCCCCACACGGCTAGAGATGCCGCGACCAGCGCTGAGGGCGGCACAGTCATAGCGGCACAGCCGCCTCACCCCTCTCCCCAGCCCTCCCAGGCTCGCCACCCCAGCCTGCAGCCACCCCTCACCCGCCACCACCTGAGAGGCGCCGGAAGTCTCTCCGCTGCGACAGCCCCTCTTTAAAATGGCGCCGGGTGGAAACCAGCACCGCCACACATCGCTTCCTCAACTCCTGCTGGGACAGCGAGGTGGGAGGGAAGAGTTCGGATCGCGACTCACTGGGTGCTCATGAGGGCATCTTTCGATGCGGGCCCTCCGTGGGGGTGCGAGGCGAACGCTGATTTTTACGGGGGAACTGGAGGTGCGGAGCGATGGTTCCGCTCAGCTCGCGTTTCCCACCCGGAGCAGGACATAGAGCGCCGAGCGCGGTGATGCAATGGCTGTGGCAGCAGAGCGCTGAGCGGGTGAGCAGTGGGGCCGCGTGGAGCAGGGCGCCTAGAGATCACGGCCAAGGGCAGCGGAGGGGCCGCCCAGAGGGTACCGCTCCGGGCTTCGCCTCCTCTGCGCGAGCGGTGCTGCGAGGTCTCCGTTTGGCGGCCCTTTCCTAGGAAGCGGTGTCTGGGAGATGGGTGGGGGCTCAAATGGTACGGAACGCTGACAAGCTAGGATGTTGCACTGTCATCTCAGGGACTCGTCTTGCACACCTTCACCGTGATTTCACACTTGAATTGATGATCATTATGACTGTGATGACGGTTCAGTAAAACACATCCTGGTTGTAGTGCTTCCCTAGGCGCGTTTCCATTGATGTCTACGTACATGCTGAGTGCTTTAATTTATCTTTTCATTTTTTGCTTTCTCAACCTACCAAGTCGGTCCATTCTCAAGTTTCCATCTATGAATTTTTTCCTTCAACTGTGTTTAGGGAAAGTATGTGATGTCTTCGAGCTTTCCTTCCTTTCCTGTCAGCTTTCCTTATGTAATACATTTTGTAACATGCATTTTGCTAAATTGTAGAATATCCTGCTTACGAGGCTGGATAGTAACAGGACAAGGGGGAATGGTTTCAAAGTAAGTCAGGAGAGGTTTAGATTAGATACGAGGAGGAAGTTTTTCCACACAGAGGGTGGTGACGCACTGGAACAGGTTGCCCAGGATGTGGATGCCCCATCCCTGGAGGCATTCAAGGCCAGGCTGGATATGGCTCTGGGCAGCCTGGTCTGGTGGTTGGTGACCCTGCACATAACAGGGGGGTTGAAACTAGATAAGCATTGTGGTCCTTTTCAACCCAGGCCATTCTATGATTCTATGAATATCCAGTTGTTTGTTTGTTGTTTTTTTAAAGGTCAGAATTGCATTTATGTATTTCAAAAGCTGGTAAAGACCCATGTCCCAAATCTCTGAATGCCTGGCTTGAGTTTCACCAGCAAAGAAGGACAGTACTGACGCAACTGGAAATAAGCTTTCAGTAGCATTCAATTTTTTCTCTATCTTTTTTATTTCCATCCTATTTTTACTCAGCTTATTCCCATCTTATTAAAGAGTCTTTCTGTTTTATAATTCTCCAGTTTCTGCACTCAGTCTCAGCCATATTTCAGCCTTTCTGAAAGGAGGCAATCCATCAGTAGGTACATTAAAGAATTAAGGTAAAACAACTTGTTTTACACCAAAGAATAAATCTTGTTTACATTTTCCTATTTTGCAATGTTTGAAAATGGCAGATTTCAATGTTTTCAACGTGAATTTACCCCATATGCTTTCTTTTCCAGTTAAATATCTCATGCTCACAAAAAACAGAAAAACCTGCTATTGAAAGAAAAGAATGTAAGTAAACCGTAGGCCTTTGTCATTTAATTACTTAACATCTATTATGCTGCCTCTTTAAAATAATGCTGTCAAACTATGCATAATCAAACTTGAAGGGATCTAAATTAAGCATCTAAGGATCACACATAATACATTAGTGGTCACTTTTATTTTAGTCCTTTCTGTAATATAAGTATGGTGTCAGCATTAATAGACCAAAATAGAAAACAATGCATGTATTTCTCAGTCTTTTCAGAGTACTTTGCTGAAATCTGGGAATATTACAGCTGTCTAACAAACAAAGCTGTAATGAAAGATATATTTAGTTAATGATAGATATGGAGGACTCGATAAATTAAAAACAAAAGTTTTCTAGGTGAGTGAAGGTTTTTTTGTTTGTTTTAAACAGTGGCAGTTCAAATATGCTATATAAATATATCCAAGGTTGTGATTAGACTGGTTATTTTGTAGAAGGAATGCTTTCAACTTTTGTTTAATGGCTAATTCAACTATTAGGTGCTTTTTTCATTTTTAATTCTGGGAAAAGGAGACAAATACATGTGAAGCTTTATTGTAAACAGCTTTTATAATTTATTCCAATTAAATATATACCTTGTAAACTCAGTCTATTCACACTGCGTGTTTAGCAGCAGGACAGCTTACCAGGAGAGTACTGAGGTGCTAGAACAGGCTGCCTGGTGATGTTGGGGATCACCATTTCTGGAGGTATTCAAAGCCAGGTAGGATGGGGTCCTGGGCAGCCTGGTCTAGTATTAGACATAAAGGTTGGCAGCTTTGCCTGCAGCTGGGAGGTTGGAGCTTGATGACCCTTAGGTCCCTTCCAGCCCAAGTCTTTCTATGATATGATTCAATAATATACCTGGGAGGCTGTCTGGAATTGTTTCAATCTATATCACTCTGCTGAAAACAAGCAAACAAAGAGAAAACCTAACACTGCTCACTTTAAAGCTGATCAGAGGTGACAGTCTTCTCCACAAACACATCTCATGCAACTGTGTCTGAACTTTCAGCTAAGAAAGCCATTTCTCTTTGAATATCCATAATCCTCTGAAAGACAGCAGGATTGTACATAGCACGGAACTTGTCCTCCGTGGCCATGGTACGACAGAAAATGCCTGGAGTGAATCATTTTCCCAACACGCTTGTCTTCAACTCAGTATGAGTTAAATTAATTAACTTTCCTTTTTCATTACTACATTTGTCACTGTCCCATCTGATTGTAATCTAGGTAAAATAGGAATCAATTTATGACTTCAGATGACATCACTTTCCTCAAGAG